AATTCCCAGCATTTTTCCTTTTGTTTTGCATTGTCATGAAAATAATGTCAAAATTCAAACAAACAAGCAAACAATGTAATGATTCTAAAATAAGCTCCTTTTCCCAAAATAAAATGTGACCCTGGAGCACAAAAGCAGTCTTAAGTCGCTGGGGTGTATTTGTAGCAATAGCCAAAAAAAAACATGTATGGTTCAAAATTATCGATTTTTCTTTTATGCCAAAAATCATTAGGATATTAAATATCATGTTCCATGAAGATATTTTGTAAATTTCCTACCATAAATATATCAAAACTTAATTTTTGATTAGTAATATGCATTGCTAAGAACTTCATTTGGACAACTTTAAAGGCGATTTTCTCAATATTTAGATTTTTTTGCATCCTCAGATTCCAGATTTTCAAATAGTTGTATCTCGGCCAAATATTGTCCTATCCTAACAAACCATACATCAATGGAAAGCTGATTTATTCAGTTTTCAGATGATGTATACATCTCAATTTCAGAAAATTGACCCTTATGACTGGATTTGTGGTCCAGGGTCACAAATGTGTAATTTCTTTTTTGGAGTGATATGTGACTCAGATATTGCTTAACAGTTTTTGTGAAACCTTAAGTCTCCTGAGCTAAAAGGAGCAATTGCTAACTCATAAAACCTTCCTCTGGTTAGGTTAAGATCAATCAATCAATAAGTGCAGAAGGAAGAAAAACATCACAGTCAAAAAAAACAAACAAAAAAAACAGATGGAATAAATAAAATTAAGTAAATGCAAATCAATTTGAACATTAAACCATAAAAAATTGTATAAATCAAAAATCATTCATTAAGTTTAGAGATATTTTAGTACCCTTTGATTCACTATTAGAGTATTTGTTAATATTCTGCTAATATTTTGATTTTTGTTTCATATTTTCTGTTAGGTTTTAGTAATTTTGTTTTGTCATTTTATTATTATTATTAATATTATTATTAAATATGTCTATAGTTTTCATTGTTAAGTTTAAGTTTTTAATTTTAGTTTATTTAGTTAATTTTATTTTAGTACTTCAGCTTAAACTAAATGAAAATTATAATTTTTTAACTGAAATATATATTAAACAGCAAGCTGAAGGCAGCAAGCCGAAACGTCTGTTATTTGTATTTATCTCCTGTTTAAATAAAGAGAATTTTAGAGTGCAGACCTTGAGTAATGTTTAAAATAAGAAATAGGTCTTTGCCTATTGAAGTGTTGAAACTGAAATATATATGAAACGTAATTTTGCTGAATAGCTGATTTTTTTTTTTTATATTTTATTTTATTTCTGTTAATATTAATTTTATTTCAAGCAATTATTTTTTTTTTACACTTAAGTTTTAGTTAACAATAATAACTGCAGTTGAATAATTAATCATTGAAAATGAATCTTTTACTTGCATAGAGAGGCGTCAGGAGAAGCACACCACAGGATTTATCAGTCCCTTCATTCTGTGCTCATGAGGGCAAATATCATGTATGTGCAGAAAGCATGAGGCAATTATAATCTAGTGGGGTGCGGTTATGAACGTTTTATGAACTCAGGTGTCAAAAGTATCTAATCTGTGTTTATCTGGGACGTTCATGACTCAGAGACTCTTTATAGAAACCACTGCTCAGATGTTTCCACAAAGTCCTTCAGCAGTGACTAACAGCTAGTCAGCACTTGTTTTTCTCTGAACAAACACGGTTTCTATATATAGCACATTTTTATCAAATACTTTTATTCAGCAAGGATGCATTAAATTGATCAAGTGACATTTTATAATTTTACAAAAACAAATAATCCTGAAAAATAAAATGTATCATGGTTCCCACACAAAAATATGAAGCAGCACAACTGTTTTCAACATTGATAATAATCAGAAGTGTTTGTTGAGCAGCAAATCAGCATATTAGAATGATTTCTGAAGGATCATGTGACACTGAAGACTGGAGTAATGATGCTGAAAATTCAGATTTGATCACAGAAATAAATTATATTTCAACATGTATTACAATAGAAAACAGTTATTTTCAATTGTAATAATATCTCACAATATTACAGCATTTAATGTATTTTTTAAAGTTGAATAGAAAAATGCTATTTCATGCTTATTAAAGTGCATGGTAACATTGAACTCTATCTTTACATGAAGCTCTTCATACTGCAGAGCGTTCCAAATCACTTACTGTATTTCCATTACGACACTCCCTATACTGTATGTGCAGCAGACAGCAAAGCAGCTCACTTTGTGTTGTAGTTTATGTATGTGTCTGTGTGTGAGTATCTGTCTATATTAATGTCAAACCAGCACAAAGACGCTCACCTAACTCATGCGGCAGCTCATGGCAGAGCACAGCCAGAGACGTGGCCAGACCAGACCGCCACGAGATGGAGAACGCTGCACCGATCGCCAGACCGTCCGCAAAGTTATGGATGCCGTCTCCAATGGTGATCATGTAGGGAAGCATACGCTGCTCTGAGGGAGAAGAGAAGACAATTATGAAATTCATGAAGCTTTTACTAGTGGCCTGATGGGATATTAATAACCCAATGGTCATTTGCACTAAACAACTCATTTGACTCTCTTAGATGAGTTTTAGTAATATATCGTTAACTCCTAGTTGTGTGTATAATCACCTCTTTTGGGGCCAACAGGTTCCAGGAAGGACTTCTCATTTTTTTCGGCATCCACCTACAAAAAAAAAAGATAAATAAATAAATAGCAATAATAATATTAAATTAATTAATAAATTAATTCAATATTATTCATAAACTAGTAATACAAGACATCACTTAGAACCAACAAACTCACTAGATAACTACAGATATTCAGAGAATATTTAAGCACCTACAATATTATTATTATAAAATTTTATTTAAATAAAGTTTTAACAATTACATATAAAATGTAATAAAGTGATAACATTTCCGGTAAATTCCAAAATTTTCAGAAAGTTTCCAAAAAAGTCCTGTAAAGTGTCCAAAAATTCTGCAATGTTTCTAGAAATTTACAAGAAACGTTCCTCCTCTGTGCGACCTTAAACAAAATAATAATATTTTAATATTAACAATAATAATAATAATAACAACAACAACATCACAAATGCAGATATTCAGAAAATATTCAAGCTAATTGTGAATGTAACCTAAATTCAATATTTAAAGAAACTCATATTCTGAGAGCATTTAAGCCTTATGTTTTGTTACTAGCTTCAAATGTCTGAACAGAGTTATTATTGTAAACTAGAACTAAAAATTAAAACCATAAAATAATAATAAAAATTATTGTATTAATTATTTTAGTTACTATTACAGTTATATATATATATATATATAATTAGTGCTGTCAAACGATTAATCGCGATTAATCGCATCCAAAAGAAAAGTTTTTGTTTACATACTATATGTATGTGTACTGTGTTTATTTATTATGTATATACAAATACACACATACAGTATATACAGTATTTTGAAAATATTTACTTGTATATACATTTATATAGTTATATTATTATATTTTATATTATATACACATATATTTAATAAATAAACATAGCATATTTTTCTTAAATATATACATGCATGTGTTTGTATTTATATATACGTAATAAATATATACAGTACCCACTCATATATTATGTAAACAAAAACTTTTATTTTGGATGCGATTAATCGTGATTAATCATTTGACAGCACTATATATATATATATGTATAAATAAAACTGTAATAGTAACTAAAATAATATATCAACGATTCTAAAAAGAAACGCACTGCTTCTGAATTTAGACCCCATTAGTATTAGTTCATTCATCACCAAAGACTTTTTTCTGCTTTTCTTGCTATTTAAAAGTAGATTTCTGTGTGATTTTCTCACCAGATCGGCCTGTGAGTTGGAGTGTTTGTTCTGTTTCTCTCGCTGGAACATCTGCAGGACTTTGCCGTGATCACAGTGATGAACGTCAGACTCCTCCTGCGAACACAGCATCATGTTAGCGGTTGGGAATGGTTTTATAATCGACCCGGACCTCTCGAACGACACGAAAGACTCACTTCATCATGATTATGGTGATGTCCTCTGCGAGTAACGATGGAGAAGATGCTTTCCATCAGGTAGAAGAAATAGATGCCCGCAACAAGCACCAGCAGTTTGTACACATAGTCGAAGTTGTCCTCGGCTTGGTCGTGATCGTGTCCGTCCTCGTGAACGTGGAGGCCTAAGAACTGCACAGAGATCAAACGACATTAACGCCGATCATGCTTTGATTTCCCAGCAGCGCTGTACAGTCATTCTGCACTGTCTGCACTCAATAAGTGAGCTCTGTTTCTCTCAGCAATCTGGTTATTTTCCACTCAGGGCGATGACATGGTGTGACAGGGCTGCAGTTATGTTGACACGGATCTAAACGGATGAGGGAACGTGGGCGCTGTCAGTGCTCGGGGGAAATAATGGGTGCCAGGCCCATTCTGCCCCGTTAAACCAGAAAACTGAGCTTTCAGCGAGACTTGAGAAGATGCCCAGCCGAAGAGTAATCGCAGGGTGATTCAGAAGGATGATGAAGGCTAAAACTAAAACAGCAGCTACTGTATAAAGTTGCATGCAAAAGTCGGCATGTCAGCAATATGAAATATGAAATTTACACTCCTTTGCCCTTTCAGAGTTATTCAAAGCTAAAGATTAACCTGTGTTTTGGCAGTGCCTCTCATGATTTGGGATGGACTGTAATAAGATAAATTATGATGAACTGATATTGTTACATGAATAAACATTAACTGAAATGTATATACAGAAAATATTCAAGCAAATTTATCTGTGAAAGCAATCGAAATTTAATACATGGAGAAACTCACATTTTGAGAGGATTTAAATGATTATTTTCATCTAGTTTTCAAGGCAATATTTCTCATTTTCATGAAGTTTCACAAAGTAAAATAACTAAAACTGAAATAATTAAAAATGATATAAAAATATACATTTTTTAATTTAAATATATTTTAAATTAATAAAAAAAACATTAAACAGAACAAAAGTACTAAAACCTTAACTAAAATTAAAATAAAATAAAAAACAAGCAAACTTTGCCATTTTCATTTAGTTTAACTGGATGTATTAAAATAAATAAATAAAATAAAATAACTAGACATTTACAAGCAAAAACAAAACAACAAAAATTACTAAAATTTTAATTAATATAAAAATGAAAACATAAAATATAAAATAAAAACAAGATTTTAATAAAATTAAAATGATCATTTGTATCAAAATAACACTGATGCATATGCATAAATCTTCACATTTAATATTATTTATTATTTTTTACTATAAATAATACTATTTTATTATATATGATATTTTATTCTTTAGATCAGAATACTAAATGATTCTACACGACACAAACAGGGATTGAAGATGCAAATATATGAAGAGAACCAGTTATGTAGGCAAATAAAGTCATGTAAATACTGAAGCTATCAGCTGCCTCCAATCATGCAAAGACAGCTTTGAATGGGGGAAGACTGAAACTGTTTGTCAAGAGGTTTCAGTGACAAAAACTTTGGGGTCAGTAAAAAGTTTGAAAAAAGTCTGCTCACCAAGGCTGCATTTATTTGATCAAATCAAAATCAATGTCAAAATGATCAATGTTGAAAACAGTTGTGCTGCTTCATTTTTGTGGAAACTGTGATGCATTTTTATTTTTCGTGATTGTTTGATGAATAGAAAGTTCAAAAGAACAGCGTTAATTTGAAACGGATCTTTTGTATGTTAACATTTTAAACGACTTTACTGTCACTTTGGATCAATCTAATGCATCCTTGCTGAATAAAAGTATTAATTTCTTTTAAAACAAATGTTCAATCCCCAAAGTTCGCTGGTAAAGTGTATATACATTCAAAAGAAAAGTTGAGGGTTGTGATTTGTTCCTTTCAGAGGCTTATATTTTCTATTTATTAGGCCTGGGTGATAAAACGGTATCGATATTTATCGATGGTACACCTTCTTCAATAACGATATAAAAATGTTTGATATAGCGCACGATATAGGCACCTGCTCTGAGTGAGGCAGACAGCACACACAAACACGAACACATGCTGAATTGGGTGCTGTGCCTGCCTGTGATGAGGAGATTGTGAATAAAACAATAAATAATATAAGTTGAATTTAAAATAAACATTTGCATTTGAATGCAAAAATGAGAAATATAGTAGCTCAATGGGTAGAAAATGTTGAATTGGTTAAAACTGAAACTAAGCCATTCACACTGAACGCAAATTCAGCGCATTTTTTAGACGGACAAATATGACTGCTGCACTCGCGTCTCACCATGCAAAGTTACAACAGTTTAAACTTTTAGAAAACACGTCACGAATTTGTGGATGTTTATTCCTTTTCACTGCGTCTCATATGTTTTTAAATGCAATCTGTGTGATGGGCGATTCGGCTCTTTGGATTAAGCAATGCATAAATACATGATGCTGTTCTGTACATAATTGTTTATGCAATTTACGAAATTATATTTGATTTATAGGAGTTAATTTAGACGTAATGCACGTTTTTTTATAGACAGTTATTTATTTGCGTTGACAATTTAATGTGCAGCATTATTTTGCTCATTGCACTGAATTTAATGCGCTGCATTATTTTGCTCATTGCGCCCTCCTGTGTTTTTAGCCATTTCCTCAGCTGGTTTGTAACAATAACAACTGCTTTGCAGCACAAAATCACCATATTATGATTACAACGAGACGCAGAGAGCCAGCAGTTGTGTGTATTGTGTTGAATGCGGGCGTTTGCTCACCGCGGGCAGCAGATGCAGCAGAGCGTCGCCCGTCAGAGATCCCACAGCCAGACTGATGCAGAACTGGATGCAGAGCTCGAACACTCGTGTGCACGCGGAGAACAGCAGCACCACGATCCCAAACATGGCCATCAGACAGATGATGAGGTTGGCCAGTGTGGCGTATCCATATCCTGCACACAAAGAGCTCATTCAGTGACTGAACACACACAACAACACATCCTTCCAGCCGGATGAAGGACAGCATTGTGCTTGAGTTACTCTCTTCTCCTCAAGGACTCATTCACACTGAGCTTCAGAAACAGTTACGGGTAATCCAAGCAGAATCAGGTTTGTTACGAGAAAACGGTTTTCTCCTTTTCCGGTTTATGAGTTTGAATGTGTTTTTTTTTTCTTTTTTTCTTTTGTACAAACAATAAAAATACACATTGCCTTGTTAAATATAATATAATATATATATATTTACAAATAAATACAAATCATACTCAAAAAAGTCACTTTTATTTATTTATATTTTTTACTTTTTATTTTTTTCACACAGTATTTTAGCAATAAAATCTGTATTTTTTTTTTCATTGAGATTAAATGAAGTGAAATCATATAATGTGTATATGGGTAAATTTCTAAATGAAATATGTCTGTCATTTAAAACAAACAAACAAAAAGATTATATGCATCTTGTGTACAAAAATAACTATATTTTAAGATTTTTTTAACTTTGTTCATTAAAAAAAGGAAATTTCCCCGCACTTCACTGCCATAATACAGCAATGAAAATCATCCTTTCATTACTTGAAATAAAATAAACATTAAATGAAATAATGATGAATAAATAAATGCAATAATAAATAATATAAAAAACTTTTTCTTTCTCCCAACTTTTCTCATTTTCATTTAGTTTAACTCGATGTGCTAAAATAGCTACAACTGAAATAAAATGAATAAAAACTATATAGGCATATTTAAAAAACATAAAAAAAAATAAAATAAAAAAAAATTTCAAAAATATTAATAAAACAACAAACTGATGCATACTATTTTTAAATAAAATATTATTAAAAATTTTCATTCTCAATAATATTTGTGACCCTGGAGCACAAAAGCAGTCTTAAGTCGCTGGGATATATTTGTAGCAATAGCCAAAAATACATGTATGGGTCAAAATGATTGATTTTTCTTTTATGCCAAAAATCATTAGGATATTAAGTAAAGATCATGTTCCATGAAGATATTTTGTAAATTTCCTACTGTAAATATATCAAAACTTAATTTTTGATTAGTAATATGCATTGCTAAGGACTTCATTTGGACAACTTTAAAGATGATTTTCTCAATATTTAGATTTTTTTTGCACCCTCAGATTCCAGATTTTCAAATAATTGTATCTCGGCCAATTATTGTCATATCCTAACAAACCATACATCAATGAAAAGCTT